TGGTATTAAATGACGCGATCATGACTTATAAATGTATGAACGGTCAAGCACCGTCCTATCTGTGTTTCAAGATTATAAACATGTGTGAGCAAACACACCGATACAATACCAGATTTCAATCATCTGGCAAGATAAAACAACAACTCTGCAGAACAAGCACAGGACAGCGATCCTTTTTAGTCAGAGCTATTAATCTGTGGAATTATAGTATTGAAAATAACATCCAAAAGGAAAACCTGTCAATTTTTAAAAAACAATTTAAGACAATTTTATTGAACAAATTTCTAGATTCCTGATTTTAAATATAGTAGAACTTATTTAGCATTTTAATATATTATATAGCATGTTCACAAACTGGAATAATTTTGTAAAAATAGTAACCATAATGATTAAGTAATGATTCAAACTTGTAATAGTTCACTGAAAAGCCCTTTTGGGGAGTGGCTAATAAATACTACTACTACTACTACTACTACTACCACTACCACTACCACTACCACTACCACTACCACTACCACTACCACTACCACTATGAGATGGAAACGATGGGAAAGAGAGTTACCAGAACGTATAACAACAGTGAGGTCTTTGGCAAAGTACCAAGAACCAGTCACCAGCATCACTCTTCATGCGTTCGGCGATGCGAGTGGAAACGGAGTAGCTGCAGCCACCTATGCTGTAGTGTCTCAACCATCAGGGCAAACGCAAGGGATCGTGACAGCCAAGGCACGACTCGCTAAACAAGGACTAACGATACCTCGACAAGAATTAGTTGCTGGCCACATGGCTGCTAATCTTGTCACTAATGTTAAGGAAGCACTCGAAGGATTCCCAGTAGCAAACTCATACTGTTGATTAGATAGTACGGTGGCCCTTCATTGGATTCGAGGCGAAGGAAACTACAAGCAATTCGTGCAAAACCGAGTCAACAAAATTCAGCAGAAAAACCTCGAGTGGAGATACGTCCCAACGCACGAGAATCCGGCGGATTTGGGCAGCCGTGGCGGTGCTGTAACGCAGACCAACGAGCTATGGTGGAATGGACCAAAGTGGCTTTCCAAACCCGAGGAATGGCCTGAAACGTCAGTACGAAAGCTACCAAAGAATCACTTGGAGAGGCTAAGAAAGTTCGTGAATTGTTCAAATTGGCGACCGATCATGAACCAGATGAGTTCAGTCAACTTATTGAAAGGCGAAATTACTGGACGGTGATTAGAACGTGTGCATGGATCGCGAGGTTTGTGCACAACGCGAGAAACAAAATTAAAAAGGTCGGTCCACTAACTACAGAAGAGATTGAAGCACAAAAGAAATTTTGGGAAGAAAAGACTCGACGACAAGGTGAAGCGAGTGAGAAGTACGACGCTGACCGAATGCGACTCAACCTACAGCGAAACCAATCGAGATTGTTAGATGTCGAGATGGAAGATGATATCCAAATGCCCTTGATAACACCCGAAAGTATGATGCGTCCTCAGTCTAACTTGCTGCCAGAATTGGAACCACACCTCGAAGAAACCGTACCGTTAAGGAAAAGAGCGAAGTACATTAAAAAATGTAAAGATACGATGTGGAAACGCTGGACGCATGAGTATTTACGGGGTCTTCGCGAACGACACAATCTCAAACACAGCAGATCATCCGGAACAGTGGAAAAAGGTGAAGTTGTGATCATAAAGGGTGACGAGAAAGACAGTAATCAATGGAAATTAGGGATTGTGGAGAAAGTGTTGCCTGGTAAAGATGGTATTGTACGAGCGGGAAGAAACCAACTTGAAAGGCACCTTTATCCGTTGGAGCTGAGCTGCGACATAGAAAGAAACACGAAGACGAAATTAAATCCGGAGATACCAGCCTTTTGACCGAGACGTAACGCAGCGAAGGTAGCGAAAGTTCGTATAAGTGACATTGCAGAAGATGAAAACAGTAACTGAACTGACGTTTAAGAGTTGAACTTATAGATTGATATTGATAATATTATTATAGGGTAATGCATGCAACAAGTGTATTGAACACCTCCGGTGTTAAATAGGGGAGTGTGTTGGAAACAGACTATAAATAAGTTATGAACAAACACTAGATATGAACAACATATAAGAGTAGTAATATAGAGGCCGTTCGACCCGGATTTTTGAGGAGGAGTGAGGAGTGAGGAGGAGTGAGGAGGAGTGAGGAGTGAGGAGGAGTGAGGAGGAGTGAGGAGGAGTGAGGAGGAGTGTGGTGGAGTGAGGAGGAGTGAGGGTGCGTAATGACGTCACTCATTAACATACGTCATAATTATATGCAATGACGTCACGCGGGCAGGTTTAAACACGATCGGGCGA